GTGTACCAGGTTTTATAGTAGGATCTAATTAAACTGTCCTGCCATACAATTGGGAAAACACACATACTGACATCCATGGAGAGGTGAAATGGTTGGTTAAAAGTAGAACTTCATGGATTTATAAACACTATTTATTCGATGCCATCTTTCTAGCTGTAGTATAGGTTTGAACAGAATAGTTTGGTTTTCTCACCTGTATATATACTCTGATAACACATAGTGCTTTATATACATTAGTAAAAGATGATGTAGACTCGGACAAGGATTCTCTAACCGCAGCGTGTATGCAGATATTTTGTGAAATAAAGCTACAACCAGAGCCTGTCGGCTTCTGTTTACATTTTATAGACAAAGATAATTGTATAATATTGTGAGGGCTGGACTTATTACCAGGCAGCAGAGCCAAAGCTCAGTTTCTATTATTTTCTACATTTTAATAGTCACTTAAGATTTTATAGAAAATATTATATTCTGTTCTGTATAGATCTACTTATTCTTAGACCGACAGGTGGAGCAGTTTCAAAAGATGGAGGATTGTAGTGGGAGTACCGGGATGTGTGACTGTGTGGCAAACAGTTTACATGGCTTGCAGGTCAGGTAGGAGGGCCCCCTTAGTAGAGTTTTGCTTAGGGCCCCATGGAGGTCAGGACCTGTTCCAGTACCATGCAACCATGAGTGTGAGGGTTTCACTGTTACAGAAACTGTATTTAACCTATTTAAGGTCTTTTACTGTCATGGTTTGACAGTTTTTCACCGTAAACTCTACAGCTATTCTTTACAGTGTGGACCAGACCACCCAGTCAGAATGTCATAAAACTTTGTAATACTGTAAGTTACATAACGCTAATGTGAAAATATCCTCATGTAGGCGATACCATGAGGTAGAATACAGACACACAGTTTTCCACAAATATTATACTGTATTGTACACCATGAAGTAGTCCAAAATAAACAGTTGCATCTAGTGTAAGTAAACTCGGGCCAAGTTGGCCCATGGGGCACTTGCCGTGGCCCACTTTGAGCCTTCTGGGCTGGGGAGCCTTTGTCCGAGCACTGTGTGCTGTCTGGGTAACCCTGGACCCTAACCCCGAACTGGCCCCTTGAAGAACGGAGAGTCGACCCAGATGTCCTCACTTGACAAACATTTACTCACTGTGAAGGATGAAAATGTCTCTCTCTCTCACAGATACTGTATGTCACAGACAACCGCACACAACCTGAAATGGCAGCGCATATTTGTGCCGTTTGCTGTTTCCACTGCCCTCATTATTGCTTTGTTTGGGGTACAAACTGGAGCAGAAGCCTACTGGTATCAGGATCTGGAAGCAGATAAAATACACTGTAAAAACTGTAGATTTTAAAACCATGACAGTAAAAGACCGTAAACTCTAAATAGGCTAAATACAGTTTTTGTAATAGTAAAACATTATATGGCATTTTAAAGGAATTTATATGGAATATTTCTTTATATTAAGGACTGTAAATTGCACAGAAAACTACCATCAAACTTGTATTTATACAGTAAAATATGGAATCCAACCATAAAATCAACAGCACTAATATCCTTTTTTTGTAATAGTAGAAAAGTTGCACTGTATTTATCACAGTAAAGTTCTGCCAACCACAGCTGTCAGTTTTTTTCCGTAAAAGTAACTCCTTCTTTCTTTTTTTACAGTGTATCTCTAGGTTGAAGAATAAGTGTTTACACTCAAAGCACCGTGAGGATGTGGGAATTAGGTAAGAGAGTTGACACTCAAAGCAGCATGGGAGGTGTGACCTATAGAGGATATCCCACTCACAGTTTACTGTAAGACCATTTGGATTAAAGCAGGTCAAAACAGCATGATAAACAGCTACTGTACATAGAGCGCCCATGAGTAATGCACATGCAGTCTAAACAGGTTCCTGGTAGCTACTTTTGCTCCAGGAGGTGGAAATGATGGTCAGTCAGTCAGTACTTTGGTTATCTTGACCAAACTGCAGCTCAAATATAAAACCATTTGAGTAACTGCCATAAAAATGTGTACACACAATCTTTAAAACTAAAGGATTAATTGTAATGAAATTTGGTACGGACGTTTATGTTGCCCTGAGGAGGAATAACTTCTGTAAACCGCTGACCTGTTTGTGGTTTTGTATGTTAGCCTGAATATTTCAAGAAAATCTAAATATAATAAAACGTCATCAGCGTAAAGAGTGAGTAAAAAGCAAAAGTAAGGAGCACTGGGGGATAGGAGGCATCTTTGACAAGAGGACATTTCCAGTTTTATACGGTCAGCAAGACGTCCATTTGTCTTGATCCTTGCAGTAGAAGCTGAATATAAAGCTTTTATACTGTTAAAGGTGCACTGTAAAAACACAAAAGTTACATTCAGTGTCACCTACCAAATTGCATTATTTTTCTTAAAAATGTAAACCTTGCATTGTTTACATCCGTGTTTACTTGCAAGCAGTCTTCTTCTTTGCCTTTATCGGTGCATTGCTGTGTTTTTTGGCATATTGCTACCGCCAGTCAATCACTGGAATTACATTAAAACCATTGGTTGAACTGTTTATTGTGTCACTCATGTGCATCCTTGATGAAATAAACAAGGACCTGTTCATAAAAACTGCTTCATACTGCTGACTCCATAGGATACCTTTAATTGAATTTGAACTGTACCTTTCATTGTTAACCACCCTAATTAAATCCATATATATGTACATTTCTTTGTACTGCACTGACAAAATGGCTACTAGTTTGAGAAAGGAGGAAAATATGTTAATCATCAAGCATTTATATTTTTAGGGTATTGTAATGTTAATATGTACTAAAACAGTGCCCTCTAGTTTAATACACACTCTAGGCTTAAACACTAACTTCAGCACACAGATTTTATGGGCAAATGAGGCATGAAACACACACAGGTCAGGGATAAAGGCATTTATTACCTCTCCTAGACTCCTACCTCTCCTTTACTGTAACTACTTCTCTGACAGCAGATCAGAATCTTTATAGAGATTATCTACAAGCAAAACAGTTTATTTACACAGTATACTGAAGAAAACTGTGGGAGAGATAGTGTTTGCACCTCTAAGCAAATGTGTGTGTTTCATATACATGAGAACGCAAACACGGCAGAGGAGAGACAAAGGAAGGGGAGGAACTGTAGGTCAGATTTCACTGATCTATTAGAGATCTGGTTGAGTACTAGGTCAGTTTGACCTGTTTTACTGAAGTCAGTCCTCCACAGTTCTCAAGGGTTGTTGTTGTTGTTGTCAGTGTGGCTCTTTATGAACCTACGGAAGCCCATTTCTACCAATGTGATGGATCCTGTAAGTCTGTATAATGAGAATATTCCTCAATATTTTTATTTATTATCTCAAAATAATGATTGAAGAAAAGTGCTTCCGTAGTGTTCTGTGTTCCTCAGGATTCAGGCTTTAGTGTAGTGCACCCAGAGGCTCAACTGTCACCACCCGGTGGTTCATGTAGATTTTGTGAGAAAGAAGAAGAGTTAGATTCATTTATTTTTATGGAATTGTTTTGGATTGACATTAAAAAGCGGATTTCTGTTTGCAACTCACTTCTTTATAGTGATGTTTGGTGATTAAGGGATGATAAAGGAAAAGACCTGAACATCATCATGATGATGTTCAGGTCTTTTCCTTCTTCCATGTATTTTCTTTTACCTAAGAGAAGAACAACTGGTGAATCCCAGAAATGAATGGGCACTAACAAAATAAAAACAAATCATGCATATAAATAAAAATGATAGAAAATGTGTTCATATGTGGTCTCCTGTGTCTACAAAAACCAGGAAGTGGTCTAACAAAAGCAACCTGAAGTCTCTCAGCAGTACAGGCGTTCTTTGGGCTCTGAAGGAAAAATATAAATAGCAACTGATTCTCTCATCCGCGGCACCAGGAGTTTATTTATAATACTGCAAAGCAAAGGTGAATCTGATCACATCCTGCGCTCGCTGCCTCTGGACACAGAGGACAGAATGACAGTGCAGATACGTTACTGTGTTCAGACCTCACTCAAGGGACAAGTGTCATCTCAGGATTTAAGATCAGCAGGCTGCAGCTGTAAAGCAGTGCTTCCCAACCTGCAGGTCAGGACCCACAACAGGTGTTGGCAGGGCTTCACGGGGGGGTCGCGAGGGCTCCTTGATTATAAGGGGTGTAAAAAGACTTGACAAATATACACAGTAGGCCGATATCTCATTATTTTTGTTCATTTCTGTGAAGAAAACTAAATTAAATTCTTATTTTTAAAAGATTTAGACTATGAAGAACTGAACACAAGTTGTATTAACAGAAGAAACTAATCTCTGATCAATATTTATTTGGAAATAATCTTCTCAAAATCATTTTACACAAACTTCCTGCAGTTATTGTGTATACTGTTGGGTTCATTGTACAGTTATTACTTGTTTTCTACGTTTATTTTTACGGTAAAAAACTGGCAGCTGTGGTTGCCCGAACGTTATCGTAATAAATATGGTAAAACTTTTTAGTGCTTTTGTTTTTACGGCTAAAGTTTCATATTTTACTGTATAAATTCAAGTTTTTACCATCAAAAGAAGCTGTTTTGTCACATGAAAATACCATATGAATGCAGTACAGTAGTTTCCTGTGCAATTTACTAACTCTAATATAAAAAAAACAAAAAACATCTACAGACATTTTTTAGTGAATATGAAATATCCATAAAATGTCATTTAGTTTACTTAATGATAGAAAACTGATGTAGGGCTCCATGTTCAAACCCTCTTGTGGAGAAGATCGATGTAAATGTCAATAAAGTTCACTCACACATCTGGATTATTTCTCTGTTTGAATAGAAAGCAAAAGAACAAAGTGGCTCAGTTCTGAGAGTCATAAAACGTGTGTGGAGTGTTTCTACTTGTATACAGCACCACCTAGTGGATCCAAAAGGAGTTACAGAGCTTAACACATCAGCGCCCCTCTACACACAGGCTTTCTGGGTAAATGAAGCATGGAACTTGCAGTGGTCAGAGATTACTGCCATTTATTGTCAACAATCAGTGTTTTTATAAGACAGAGCTTCAGCATTAACAATCATCATCTGATCAGCAGCACTTCACAAATACTGGCTCCGGTTCCAACTTTGTACTTAACACTTTCACAGTATCTCTAGTTTTGATTTTATTCTCACTGGAGCAGGTTGCCTTTGATTTTTAATGAATTACACAAAAAAATTATAATAATCGCAAATATTTTTGCAATTCTAACTTTCTCCCCCGCAAAAATAAAATAAAATAAAAACATTGTAACATGTGTCGCAATATTTAAGAACAGCTGCAGTGAAATCAGGCATTTTAAGCAGCAACAATCTCCTGGAGGGACTCTGAAATAATACATACTTTATTACACAGGAAGATGATTACAAAGTGCTCATTTTTCATCTAATAATAAAACTTTAATGAAGGATTTCTTTCAAAAGGTCAATTTGAAAATCACACAAATTTTTTTTTATTTAATTTGAAAATACTGTGTAGAAAAAGTTCATGTATAATCTTTCAAGTAGGTTTCTGCAGGTTCCAACTGGTTCAATTTAAGACTTTTTAAGACCATTATGAATGCAAGTTAAGACCTATTTTATATCCATACTGGCAAAAAAGTATGAAGGAAAAACAGTATTGGTTAGTTCTTACAGCATGATCAATACAAATTGTTGTGAAAAAAAAAAAAACTTCATTAATCCAATCAAGACCTGTAAAAATCATATAGACATTTTCAGATTATTGGATCAGTCCTCAGTTACATTTTGGCTGCCAATGTGGCTTTTCTTGTTTTTAATGATTCAAACTGTTTGTTATGGAGACAGCTCCACTAAAAGCTGATGATTTGTGCTAAAACAAGTTGGTTTGATGTTAATACAAATTCAGCTCAGTCCAGTCACTGTTGTGTCAACACTATCGGATCATCCACCTCCCACAGTGTGACACAACTCCAGGTCGAAGGTCAGTGAGCTCCTCAGGACGTCCTGTCAGTGTGTACTGAAGGGAAATCACAAGCTGCCTGCATGCAGGAAATACTTTCATGATGGAGTCTGATCAGTAGAGCCTTTCTGTGAGTCACATTGCACAGTCAATCAATCAATAACATCTCTGTGCCGCTCTAGTGCTGTATTAGATTGTAGATTTAATCAATACTGATTTGTTATTAGTATTAAGTAGGATTATTCGTGACTTAAGTACTTTTTTGTCTCACTAGTGCAAAATTACAGCCTTATAAAACAAAGAAAGCCGTATGGGTTGTGTTTAGTGTCAGTGCGGCTAATCGATGCTCTGGGTGAAGTGTTCCCCGGTGTACAGGCCGTAGTGTAGGGTGTCCTTCTGGGCTGCGGCCCACGCCATCTGCCGGCTGGAGAAGTGAGCGGCCCAGTGGCCCTGAGGGTCCACTGTCACCACCCCGCCCAGCCCATCCACTCTGGACTTCATGTAGGCCAGGCCTAAGTCACTGGCTGCCTCTACTGACTGACCTGAGGAGAGAAGACACTGAACTACTGCACCAGGCACGGCAGAATTACTTTGTGTGTGTGTGTGTGTGTGTGTGTGTGTGTGTGTGTGTTACCTTGCTCCACGTGGAACAGGATGAGTCGGGCTAGAATAACCTTCATGATGGCTTCTCCGTGTCCTGTAGTTGACACTGCTCCTGAGCTGTTGTCAGCGTAGCCTCCACAGCCTGACAGTGACAGTATGAGAGAAACACTTAATATTATATGCACTTATTTTAGGTAGAAAGTTTTTTATTTGTAGTTTGTGACTAAGTGTCAGAGAAGAAGACAATGAAAAGCTTCCCAGCTTTGGTTAGGGCTGTGAAGTGTAAGTGTAGTTTAGCCATGTTTCAACAGTTTTATGACAAACTACTGAGTTGTTATACGGATGCAACAGACCTTTTTCACAGCAGCTATTTTGACATGAAAGGGTGCTGCTCTGTGGAAAGGCTCTGCTGGTTTCCTGTTGGTAGAAAAAACCCATTAATAGTGTTTTCCACCAAATTAGCTCTAGTTGTTGAACTGGTCTTGGAACCTCGTTGCTATCCAGTGAACCAGTGAACCTTCCCAGCAGTTTTGAGTGGAACCAGTGTAATCAGATGGGTGTTTGATGTCAAAATGGCTGCTGCAATAAAGGCCTATTAAGTAGATGGGAGAGTACTTTTCTCTTGAAACACACTGTAGAGCACACTCTGACACTGTATTGATCCTCTGATCTCGTCACTTTATAACTTTCAATTACTGATAATAATGATAATGATTGAAATGGCGGCAGTGTGACGGACGAGGAGCAGCAGTTACAGCACACAGGTGATGATGGGAAGTTTATATTATTATTTATTACTTATGATTATGAAATTATAGCTGATAACTTACTGGTTGATAATAATTTATTTGGAATTGTAAAATGTTTGATAGGCTGTAAGTATGTTCGTGTTTTTGATGAACTTTACTGGAACAAATAAATGAACATTTGAAGAGTCAGAACTGTTTTTGTTGTGTTCACAATAGTGGTGTCAGAAAATATTAAATCATCCATCTTTGCTCACCACATCGGAGCCTTTCTCCCCCTCAGGTGTAAATAAACTACAGGTTATGAACTTCTCTTTAAAACACAAACGTGTGAAGTTATCGGTTATAAAGATGATTCAGAAAAAGGTTCAGAAATGAAGAGCTGCAGAGAAACTGACAGTGACTGTAAGTTACCTGTAATTTAAATGCTTTCATTCAAGTTTCAACTTTTCACCAGACAGCCTTTGTAGCTGAAGGCGGACGTCTGTTTCCGAGAGCGAGGCCGCAACTCGTGACAGTCCAATCACTCATTTACTGATAGTGACAGATTACACAGGGCTGAAGCGGCCCAAATCCACTTACTGCTGTTTACTGTCGCTCAGTGTAAAACAGCTCTGAGATGATTCAGCCCCTGTCACACAGATGTACACTTATCTTCTCAAATGACACTTTGGGTTCTGGCATATTACTCAGGCAACATTAGGTTATTAGTGTAAGCCAGTCAGCGCTGTGGCTCTGACACAATGAGCATGAACTGGGCAGTATTACATGAGTCTATGGCCGTGGTTCTCTCAGTGTACTCAAAGAGAAATCCTGTATAAAGAGGCTCAATACAACACCATGGTAGAACTGAAAAATAGTTAAATGTTGTAGAATCCATCACTAAACTCATGGCAAACCACTTTTTTGTCATCATGCAATAAGACTAACATTAAAATTGCATTGAATCTTCCACTTCTACAAGTTCCACTTGTTGCACAATTTAACAAAAGAACATCTTAATCATTAATTCTTTGCAACAGGGAGGCAACTACAGGAAACAAACCCTGTTTTTTGGTTTCAGGACAGTTGACAGTTTACAGTAATTAACGATTGCATTGAAACATTAGAATACTGAATATAAATTGTGGTTTATTGTACAGACATTTACATTAAATATAATATAGTATAATTATTTTAGGAAATGTGCATGACTGATATTTTATATTTTCTTGCGTGTCCTCTGCAGTACCCCGTTTGAGGAACACTGGTCTATGGGAAACCCTTTTGACAAGATATTTGACACAAAAATAAGAATCGGCACCATGTGTTACTGTTGTACGGTATGTTGTCAGCAAACACAGAGCTTGTGGTCAACTATCAACCAGTCAGGCTTTGATTACTAACTAACCACACATGTCCAATCTCTATTGGTCAAAGGTCACCAGACTGGTGAACACAACCTTCCTATTGTTTTTGTCTGATAAAATGTTCATTAAAAGAAACTCCATACAATACATGTGAGGACTGACCTACGCAGGGTGTGTCGCCCACCCGACCCTCCATCTTATTCAGGATCCCACCAGTGGAGGTTGCACAGGCTACGTTGCCCTCGCTATCCACTGCCACGGCTCCAACCGTGCCCATCTTCCCCCTACACGACAAAAAACACAGAACACAGACTTATTTTTATTCTAAAGAACACTGAAGGTATAACCAGTTGTGTATAGTGACCTGGTTATTGAGTTATACTGAGCTAAAACCAGCTTACTGTGAGGGACACTTTCTTTTGAGGATCAGCTCCTCGCTGCTTGTACTGTATCCTCTGAAAGGCTTGCTGTTTGGTGGAGAGTGCAGCTGTAGTCTCAGCAGTAAATAAATTCCAACGATGACCCAGAGTCACAGCAAAAAAATCTGTCCAAACATCCATGGAAGTTTCTCAGACTGCTCCTGCTGCATAATCCAGTTCACCAGTGTTGATTCTTGTGCTCAGTATGTTCCAAAAAACCTTTCCAATAAATCTTTACTTTGCTACATCAGGAGGTCCTTACATATAAAGAGGCCGACGATCTGTGTTTAGTTATGTTGTGGACAAACCTGCTGTCACTGAGGACGTTTCAGACACTTAAATGGGTCTCTGAGGAGACGACGAGATGGGAGGCTTCAAGTAACCTGACTGGGCCCGATCAGGGAAGTCATCATTCAGTGCCAATCTTTGTTCTTCTTTCAATGAAGAAATACTCTCCACTAACCTCTGGAGGAGTTGCCATTGTCGTTTAATGAACAGTGTCTTCTCGCCGTGTCACACCTTGCGACCACCAACGCAGCTGCCAGTACGTCCTCATTGGAGGCTGATTGGTCCAGAACCACTGTACTGACCACAAACTGAAGACTGAGGTCTGTCAAGATGAATTCTCATGTGATCTCGCAAGTCCAGCTTCGTCACAAGGTTTTAAAGAGGAGTGTCCCAAGTGTATCTAATAAGGAGTTTTATTTCTGGATGCCAGCACCCCTTCAATCACAATCTCTGTAGTGAGCCTCATAAGTAATTGCAGTCTCCTCAAACTGATGCTGGTAAGACTGCAGAGGTCTCCTTTAGTAAATGCAGTTCTATTGGAAGCAGCTTACAGAGAGCAGTGCAATAACTCATATCTCAGTATGTTTCATCTCTAATGGATCACGGTGTATTCGGAACAAATGCTGATGAGTTTAAAACAATGTTGTGTCTCACATTTGGCACTCCACAGGGTTGGCATCAGGTTCCAGGTTCTTTTTCCAGCGCATGTGGGAGTACTCGGTGATGAGGGACTCTTGGGGCACCTCAGGGACGCCCATAGACCGGGCAAACTGACCGGCCCCCTCTGCTGTCAGACACACATGACTCGTCTGAAACAGAGATCAAAGTTCACATCTTACATGCGTTATTACTAACCCTAATCCCAGGGTTACTATAACCCTAACCCTAACCCTTGAGGTTAATATGACCCTAACAATAACACTATTTTCCTAAACCTAACAAGTGGGTTTATTGGCTGAACCTATGTGCGACAGAAAATTGAAGATAATTCAAAAACAGCCAATAATTCAAGTCACTAAGTAAAAAAAATTGTTTCACAGGAGAGTCGAACCCCAACCTCCCAGGTAAAGGTCCTGGACTTGACCCATTTAGTTTGGATGTAGATCTTTATGTTGATGTCCTTAAAGTACATGTGTAATTGACTACATCTGACTGAATGTATAGTATCGTCTTGCCGTCATTCTTTCAGTATTTACAGAGTGTAGGAGTTAAATTAAACGTTTGTGAGCATCATGCTACATGCTACTTATACGTACATAATAGGGTGTGCTGTCAGCACCAGAGTGTGTGAGTTTAAATGTACGTACCTTGTCCATAACCAGTCTTGCTAGCTGGATGGGGTTAGCTATGTTGCGTACAGCAGACACGGCACCACTACCCAGTGATTTCCCATCCATCACAAAGGCATCCATCTCCACATCTCCTTTGATGTTCAGCACTGACCCACAGCCTGAAACGAGATTTAAGAGACGATGTGAGTCTAAAGGGACAAAGAATCTTTTGTGTACAGAGGTGACATTTGGCCTACGGGTGGAGGGAGAGGACAGCTCAGGTATCTGAAAACGGGTTCATGTTGGGAGTTCTTTTAGGGAGTTTACATGTGATTCATATATTTGAGAGCAATCTGTGCATTGATTTAGATTCTTGTGCACAAGTTAGTCCTTTTAGGGACCTTCAGCATCATTAAGAACATAAAATGCATGTTCCTTTTCATGCTTGGGTCTTATTAGTTGTGCAAATTAGTTAATGAAGTTAACGTTGCCCAAACTGCGAATGTTTTTATACACAAAAGACAAAAGGCTCAAGAACAAGGTGGACTTATTCATATGTTGGATTTGATGCAACTCTGTGGCTTCACCCACTGAAGCGCGAAGGAGGAACTACGGTGGCCTGCACATTATGGTTCATTACCCACAGTGCAGTAGTGTGAGTGCGCTACCTGCGTTGAAGGAGGGGTTATTCTCCAGCTCCGTCACAGCCCCTACCACAGCGTCCATGCTGCTGCCCCCTCCCTGGAGGATAACGTACCCCGCTCGGGCTGCTGAGCACACCCCCGAAGTGGACCTTTCAGACCGCTCCTTCGGGATGTGACCCGCCCCTCCGTGGACCACCACCACTGGCAACACGTCAGTCATCTGAGAGGCACACATGGAGAGACAGGATGTAAGACAGGAGGTAGACGTAGTGGTAAAGGACAGTTCTAACATGGTGTTGATGAGTTTCATTGTTTGGACTACAACATGAAGCATCTTGTTTCTGCAGATCTGGGGGCTTGAAGCTCTCAGGTCCAGTTAGTTAGCAGGGTTGTTTAGCTTGTTAGATGTTTCACTCTTCTCATTCTAACAGTGCAGGCGAGGTGCAGTGGACTGATTGCACAGCAGGAAAAACACAGGCAGACTTAATGAGAGTAACGATAGCTCAGTTCCATTACAGGTACAGGTACAGTGTGGACAGTAACACAACCATCATTTCTATTAAACCCGTGTACAGACACGCCTTTATGTGATCTTCTTATTGGTTTTTTTATTTAATGGCTTTTATCCTGCTTTTATTATTGTATTATTGTATTTTATTTATTTTTACATTTAATTACATATTGTGTATCACGGCTATAATTTAGCTTTGTCACTTTGTAAACTGTTTGTAAAAAGGTGCTATATATAAATAAAGTTATTCTAATTATAATAAAACCATCATAAATGAATTTCTAAGCACTTTTAACGTATTGAATAAGGTTCATTCAGACCCAGCAGCAGGCAGCAGGAGGACAGGTGAGCGAGGTGTAGTGCATTAAAACTTAAACAACAGAGCTCCACTGTGTGTAGTCAAAAACACAGAAAAACTAACTAAATGTGCTTGGATAAACTTACCTTGCACTAGCTTTTGGCACTTTAATGTATTTATTTAACATTTATTAATGTTATGTCTCCCTTCTTCCAATATCAGTGAGTGTAAACTGATTAATATTAAAATGAATGTCTCATTAATGAAAAGGATTTATGAAATGACATATATGTATATATATATATATATAGTTATAAGTGATGTGCCTTTAGTAGACTGTACAGAGGACAAACAGACAATAAAGCCATAAACCTCTTTATATCCAACCTTTGGTCTAAGATAAACAGCTTTGGTACAGAACCAATTTCACACTAAATTCATTAAAAACATATTAATTAATAACTCTTTGGTTAACAGCAAAATAACTAATCCCAAAACAGGTGAAATATAGTTTAAAATCAGTGATTTCAGATTATTTATTAACAGTTTTAGTGAGAGTTTAACTAAGCTCCCACGCGGTGACAGAATAAGCCTGCGGTTATATATCCGGTGTAAGGTGGCTCAAGCTGTAAGGAAATACTTTACAATATATAAAACGAGAGCCGCTTCTTGAGCTGTCTGTGAGCCGAATTGAGAAGACACGTTAGAAACAAGCTGCAGTCATGTTAAAGCCAACAACAACCACAGTAATTAGCGGAAATATGAATTTTTTGCACGAATCGCCGCTAACGTTAATGCGGTTCGGCAAGCTAATGCCGCACAGACCGAGTGAAACCGAGCCACGGCTAACGTTACGTGTAAAACTCAACCGTTTACTAAATTGTTGGCTTTCTGTAAATCGTCAGTGCACCCACTCACCCTGAAGGTTGCTCGGTTGACATGAAGAATTCTTCCGGCTGCTGAGATATTGACAGCGTTGATGTAAAAGAAAAACAGCTTCACTTCCGGGATATGACCATGACACTTTCAAAATAAAATACAGTTCTTCATACCAAGCAGCAGACTAAATTCAACTTGTAGATCTTTTAAAGTTGCTCCAATCTTGCTGGAATTGATAAATGACTAAAATATATTTTATAATCCTTAACAAAAACTGTAAAAGAGGATACACAATAAGATATGTTTGGATTGATTAAAGCCCTTTGAAGTTAATTAAATCTAACCTATTTAAATGAGTTTGTTTTTCTCTTTTCTTTTCCGTTACAGTACGCTGCTGCAAAACATTGTTAAATAGGTTTAACAACCATTAACTGTGCCTGTGTGTTATTTAAAGATTAATAAAGGTTTAATGAAGAAAAAAGAATATATTCAACTTTAAGTAGTAGTAGTATGTCTAATGCTACTTGATAAAATTAGATAAAAGAAATATACGCATCATATATTCGTAAAATATACTTTTTATATTCTTTACTTTTATATTTTCCCTTTAAAGCCTAATATATAGTTTAATATAGAGGGAATATATAGTTAAACATAGTGGGAGAATCTATTTCAGCAATTAGATCAAACATTTTGCTATAAATCTATTAAGATTTTCATGATTATTATAATTATTAGTCATATAGTAACATAGCAGTAGTATAAGTTCTTACTCCATTCACGCTGCACTGGTTTTGTGTGTGTGTTTTATTATGAAGTCAAAATGACCTCATTTCCGTTTGTATGTTGGGTTGCTTGACTGAAAGTGAAATATCACATGAAAACAAATTAGGTGAAGAAAGTATAAAGTGACTGTGTGTGATCCAACTGTTCCAATCACATGTTTACATCTACTTTTATTATTTATATTTGTTTTATTATTGTCATTTTTATGACTTATTAGCCTAATCAATTTTACTTTATATTTCTGTATATATATATATAGATTTTGGCAATTGAATTACCTTGTATAGGAAACTGAGACAGACTAATGGAAATACTTTTATTGTGTAACTACTGAAATGAAATGAGACGGTCGGGTGTGCACACTCTTTGGCTCTCTCTCTGAACATTGCTGCCCTAAATAGGACCCTCCTTTAGGCTGAGTCAGAGCTGTTTGTTTGTCAGTTTGGGCCTGTTATGAGACGATGGTGATGATGATGATGATGATGATGATGAAGGGTTTGGGCTCCAGACTCACAGCTCCTCTCAGCACGGTTCCCCTGATGTTCAGTGAGCTGGCCGTGGTGCTGAAACACACACAGGAGGATTTAGGAGCTGATTTAACACTTGACCGTGAACTTACAGTGAGGCAGGCGGACCTGGACTCAGCTGGTCTACAACACTGTGACCTCGAGGACAATGTGGCATTAGTCTAATTTTAGTTCAGGAGGCAATTAGCTGTGCAGGAAGTTGTCAATTTATTAACCAAATCATGTTCTACACTGAATCACTGTTAGACCTGATGAGTTAGTTCAACTCAAACTGTTTGAGGAAACTTAAACCAGGAGTCTCAAAAGTCTCCATCCACCTCCCTATATAATATAATCTGGTACACAGGATTGTTTTCTAAATTATTATTTATTCTAGTTGTTTCATATCAATTTAAACTACACATGCATATACAATAAAAACTCATTTAAAAGCAATGTGTGGAAGGGGTTGATAAGAAGAGAGCAGAGCAAGTATGATGTTAGTAATATATATATTATATATACTTTGTTGTAGTACTTGAAGGTTGAAGTCGCCCTCCTATGATGATGTTGATGAGATGATGTTTGAGACCTCTGCATTAAACCATTTAATTTTATTAACTTGATGAAGATATTTGATTTGAGTAGAAGTAACAAAAGTTATTATTATTAAGGTAACTTTGGGTAAATTAAGTTAATTGTACTAATTTCATTCAGGTAATTGAAGTTAAACTTATATGCAACATTTGTCCAAACGTATTTAAAATGTGTGAACAGAATTTATCTGAATGAAGTCACTTAAATGTTTTCTTCCACTAAAACAAATTATTACATTTCCTGTCAAAACAGCTGAACCATTTATAATTAACCGGTTATTAAAATTATAGTACATTTCTATGTGATTTTTTATTTGGGCTTATGATGATTAATAAACTGAATTAAAAAGCTTATATACAGCATTATAATTATTACATTTTGATATATATGATATAAAGTCAACTTAAAGAAAATGAGTCAATCAAACTGGAATTATATCACCAATACTTTACACACATTTAAGTTCAATCAAAACAACTTTTTTGGACGTTTTTAATTTATGTTAACTTCTTTTATTATGTTAATTTATTTATTAAGATGTGTTAACAGTTAAAAATTGTCCAATAAAGCACATTTGTTTCTAAATTTAGGTTAATGTGACACAATGATACAGTGTATGTGATACACACGTTCCCACATGGTGAATTGTATGTGATCTGTAACGTTTAGGAGCCGCTCTCTATAGACCACACAGCCTATAATTGAAACGTTGTACTCTGACATACTGTAAATGTCAGCCTATAGCCTCACATGTGCACGACTGTGGTCGACCTCAGGCTCCCTTCAGATTGTTTTTCAGCATGAGGAAGTTGTGTGTGTGTGTGTCTGTGTGAGCTGGGAACTGCTGGAAGGATGGATAAGGAGGAAGGACAGAAGGAAGGAGTGGAAGGAGAGAGAGGGAGAGGGAGGGCGGGAGGAAAAAAAAGGGGGATGCGCGTCATTCTTACACGCAATGATTGGTGGGAGAGAGGAGGAGGAGGAGAGGGCAAACACTCTTATTGTGAAAGGTTCCATACAACACTACAATATGGTTCTCTAGACTCATTATTACAGTGTTACTGATATTATTTTGACCCACTTCACACACCAAACAATGGGATTATTCCTTTTTATGGTCAGTTTTTGAAACTTTTTCATCCATTTTTCTTTATTACTTTATACTCTTGTACACTGGATACATACTGTGAACACTTGAAGGTACACACCGAACTATTTCACCATGAAACTAAATCCCTTATTGTTTATACATCTTACCATAACATTAATTTACCAATAAATAATTGTATTTATATGGTAAAATATGGAATAAAACTCCACCTTTAACTGTAAAATCAACAGTACTGATATCCGTAATAGTAGAAAGGTTCTACCGTATTTATTACGGTTAAGTGTCTGCCAACCACAGCTGCCAGTGTTTTACCGTAACATGGCTCATACAGAAACTGAGTTTACCGTCTTTTACTGTAGTTTGATGTAGTTTGACAGTTTTTCATCGTAAAGTCTTTTAATGATGCCTTTAATATGATATAATCTATTCATATATTTATTATTTTACCCCAAATTTGAGCTGAGCCCTTGAATTGAAAAGGGTATAAATGAATGAATTAATGTAGCCTAATGTTAGCAGATTTTAAGAGAGTAAAAATACCTCTTTGGAAATAGTGTAATCCATAAAAGCACCTTTATATTCCTTATTATAATCCATTAATTTACCCATAAAGACCTTTTTGGGGACATGAAGCTTCGTTTTCAGTGTTAAATTACGAATGAATCAATAAAGGATTCCTAATGTGTCCAGTTAGTTATTATGGTCCTACAAACCCCACAATGCACCCTTGAGGAACCCTTTATTTGCTGTGTGTGCTACAGGCTGGCGTGAGCGCGCATCCTGACGGTGAGTGGAGCCCCCCATTCTCAAATGAGGGCTGCGCGCTCCCGCCGCAAGAGAAGTGAACGCGCTTGAGGGGCTGCGGTCCCATTGACGGTTCCGTCTCCCTGACAGCAGCATCAGCATCAGCATCAGCA